GCAGCTTTGCTCTTTTTGTCACCCTTTTTAAATCACAAGCTCAACTTTAGTAACATTTTGAATTGTAAGTATGGCTCAACCATCTGTTGCAACCAACAGGCTCTTCGTTACTAAGTTTTTCTTTATAGGCAAATCCGTTAATAAGGTTCCCTTGTTTATCCTTCTCATGCGATACTAGTCATCTTCCTTTTTCCAAATCTGTCTCCACTGTTTGATCGGTCGTTTATTTGGCGCCATTTATTTGTCGTGTATGAACCCAGTCTGTTTTCTGTTTGCCTTACACTACCCAAAATCCATGTATTTCGCACATTTTCATCGGTTCCACTTCACTTTTGTTCAAAGGTGGTAACAATTGTTCACATTACCTTCGTTTTCAGAATCTCTTTCTCAAAACGCATAGTAAGTGGTCATCCCCAGGATGACACAGCGTACCATTGCTGCTCTTGACGAGGTTATCATTTTATCTGTACAATATTATCGGACTGCCATGTTTGGACTGTTTGACAGCGCGCTGCATAGACGTGCTGTTTGTTTTTTGAAGATCATTGAGTCCTTGTGTCATGTGCATTGCTTAACTCATATCTGATACTTCTCGGACGTGCCATCCTCTTGACGGTTTTTAGCAAAAGCCTTAACCTCTAAACGCGGCACCACCTTCTCAGGGCACTACTTCTTAATCCATTAACACCGACCAGCTGTCATTCCTCCGTAAAACGTGTTAACCTTTACCATTCTTTTGACATTAACTTTATTGGATCTACAAATCACTAAAAAGAGTTATTTATACGGAAAACATGGACAGAATATTTAAATGAACTACTGACAAGACAATTGCACTGGACTAATGATAGTCCGGAAAATGAAACTGTTGAACTGCAAGGATGATGAATTCAAACATTGTGCCTCTGGGTTTTTATGGAGTTGTTAATTGCCTGCAAGATGTGACGGAAGTTAACTAGTGTAACATCTGCTCTTGGGGGTTGGGTGGGTTTTTAAACCCATTTCCTCGAAGATTAGTGGTAGAAGGAGTACTTCATATCTTTTTGATTATTTTCGGCTTTTACAGAGTTAGGATTTTGTAGCGAAACGGCGCCTTGCATTCTCACCTTGGCAAAAATTGGGACGATTATTTTTTCCTCATTTCATCGCTTAGTTCAAGGTCTCCTTTGTCTTTCTGTTAATTCTCCGTTGACTTGGATTGGATGGATTTGTCGTTTTTGTCATCTGCTTTCATTTTTTCCTTCGTA